GCTTTTCTGGTGAAGGGTCTAGGCCCGAAACGTCAGCCTCTCTGCTCCTGTGATGCTGCTTGGCCTGCTGTGTTCATCCAGCCCTGCACCATGTTGTCTCGGATTCACCAGCATCTGCAGTTCCTACTATCTCTGCAGTTCTTTGTTTTTTTTGTCCAGATCCATGTGATCTGATATTGCAATGGCATAGCCCTTTGACACATGCTATGTTTTGAGTAAAGGTGCAGTTAACCCTTTACTCTAACCATGTTGTTAACTGCAATTTGCATTTATATAACACTGCTAACTTAGTGAATGTTCTTCACAGGGGTAAATAACAAAACTATAAAAGGAGAAGTTAGGACAGGTAAATAAAAGCTTAGTCAAAGATGTAGGTTTTAAGAAGTCTTTTTTACAGCAGTACAGGATTTAAGGAGAGATGTAGCATGTTTAGTGTCAAGGTTGTGAAAGGCATGTCAGCAAATGGTAGATCAATTAAGATCTGGGATGTGTAAAAGACCAGAATTGGAGGAAAACAAGGAACTTGGTAGGTTGTCAGGCTGGAAAGGGATTAGAGAATTAGAAAAGGGTGAGGAAATGAAAAACATCTTAAAGTAAGGACGAGAATTCTAAAATTGAACACCATGTCAGCCAAGGAGAAGTAATAAGTGAAGAGGACTTAATGCAAGTGAGAACGTTGGCAGCAGGGCATTGGATTAGCCTAGGTTTACATAGAGTGCAGCAGTGACAGTAGATGCTAAACTAACATGCTGCCTGCTCTCATTGGTGGAAGCAAAATATGACACAACACTATTTTGAAGAAGAGTGGGGAAATTCTCCCTGGTGTCCTGGCCAATACTTATCCCTCACTCAATATCAAAAGTATGGATTGCCTGATTATTATCACATTATGATTTATGGGAGCTTGCTATGCATGATGCATTTTCTAAACTACAAAAATGACTACAGTTCAAAACTACCTAACTGATGAAAATACTTTAGAGTGTTTGTGCTCCTGAAAGTTGCTATATAAATGAAAGTATCTCTTTTTTTCCCCCAGTGGCTCTTGTACCTATTGCAATGTCCTCTGCAGTCAAATAGTCTCAAAATACTGGGTGTTGAAAAGAAAATAACCATTACACAAAGTATCGGAAGAGTGCAGTGTTGTTGGAAAAAGGAAAAGGCAGAACATTAGAGGGGACAAATAGTTTCCTTTCTGCAACAAATTACAATTCAGCTCATTTGTTGTTGCTGAAAACAAGTGTTCGATATTATATACCCACACTGGAGATAAAATAGGTTTAGTGACTATCCCACCATCCCCAAGCTCACCCCCACAATACAGTTGGATCACATGCTCGCCATATGTAACTAAATAATCCAGAGTCAATTAAGCTTGATAAATGCTTAATTGACCCTGGAATTACACTGCACATTTCATAACGTGATTGTTGTGGGCAGCCAACTGGGAGTCTGTAGTCTTCTTTAATAAGTGTTTTTGAACGGTGAAATGGGGATAATATCATCAAGAAGTGCTCCTCGCTCATCAGTGACAATGTACAGAACCTAATAAAACCCCTCCTACCTCCTTAGCTGCACTGTAAAATTCAACCTCACATCTCCTAATCCCTCCCTGATAAATTCCACCCCCTCCACACTGGCTTGCTTTCATCAAGAATCCATGGGATGCCTTCCTCATGGATCTGCCTGCAGTCCTGGCAATGGCCACTACCGAGCTGTAGTACAGCTAGGACTGCAAGAGCTACCGGGAATTGCATGAACACCTTTTAACACCAAGCACAAAGTAATATGATTGTGGGGTGGTCGTGCTTTCGTTTAGTCGGTTTCTGACTGACTTTTTGGTTGGAAGATTGAGCAGTCTGCCTCTCCATTGAGTACAGTTCTGCATTTTACCTATTGTAACTTTTGGTTTGGGACATGATGTGGCAGTTAAGGAACTATGCAGTGCTCCAACACAATCAAACACCATGTAGTAATAGCTATTTGTTTTTCACAAAGTTCTTTGTTTGAGCAGAAATGAATCTATTTGAAACTTTCAATGCCACATTGATGAATTTTATTGCTATATGGCAAAGAGTATTATCAGGTAACAATTTAATACTGACCCAGATTAGGAGTTTTTGGCCTGTGGCCTGGTCAAACAGTTAGATTCTGAGAAGCTTCTCATAAGAACAGAAGAGGAAAAAAATACTGGGCATTTGACCATTGCATTTGAAGGGCTGGTTACCAGTGATGGAGAAATTAAAAGTGGGGATATGAAAATGCACAAACTGAAGGAGTGCAGAGACATCAGAGAGTAATATGGTTGGCTCAGATAATGAGAGATGAGAGTATGATGGAATTTGTAATCAAGGATGAAAATGTTAAAATTGACACATTGCAAATCAAATGCTTTATTGCAATAGATCGTTCAATTTATTTATCAAGATGTTAATGTAAAACCCATTAAGCTGTTTTATTAAAATAGGAACATGTTTTTGACTTTATCATGGCTAGTTTACAAATTTGAATGTTGAGAGGAGTAATTTGCAATGTGGACGCATGTACCCCACTATTTTTTACCAATTACTGAATGAATTTTAGTTCCATATGTGCATTTTCATACAATTTTTTTGGAGGCAGCTTTTCGTTTTTCAGGTCATAGAAAGTATAGTTGTATAAATCAAGCCGTTGACAAGGTACATTTGAGAACTGGTCTCTTTTGTTATATCCAGGAGCTGTCGAGCTAAATGTGCACCCTCCTCAGAAAGCACAAGGATTGGGCTTTGATATATAGGCAATGGGCTACTGGCTGTAATATCTATGAAGCAGTTCCTTAGGGAAACATACTTCACTTCATAGCCCCACTCTGTTGCTTATTGTCATCAAAGATCTGCTGGATAGCATCAGACATGAACTTCTTCCCTTTTACTAATGTCACCATCCTCTACAAATAGTTAACTGTTAGTCTGAAAGACAAACAATATCTGACTCACTACAGCAGATTTAGACGAACTTGTAACATTGGACAGATAAATGATGACGTGTTAGCTTGAGCACTGAGACCAAGTCAATAAATGAAAAAGATATATAGTAGAGTTGCCCACCCATCTATACCCTTAAGGAATACAAATTCAGGGCAAATGGATGTGTAGAATAGTTGTAAAAACTGGTGGAAAGTGGGATTTATCAAGAATGCTTAACATTACTTACAGACTTTACTGAAACTATTAATGTTAATAAAATCCAATAATAGGTAAATGAAAAACACTTCTCATTTGGGCTTTAGATAGCCCCAAGTGAGTGAAAGCAGTGACTTGTTAAATCTTGCTGTCTTTCCCAGAAGTGGGTTATTCAATACCTTTCACGACTCCTCGGATACTGAAGCAGCCCATGTCCATGCAACAAGACCTGCATGATATCCAGTCTTGGGTTGAAAAGTGGCAAGTAATATTCAAGTCACTAAAATGACCAGCAGTGACCATCTCCAACAAGATAAAATCTAACCAGCATCTCTTGATATTCAATGGCATTACTATCACTGAATTCTCCACTATCAACATCCTGGGGTTACCATTGACCAGAAACTGAACTGGGCTAGCCATATAAATACAGTGGCTACAAGAGCAAGTCAGAAACCAGGAATCCTGCAGTAGATAACTCATCTTCTGACTACCCAGGAACAAAAACAGTCGTTGCTGGAAAATCTCAGTAGGACTGTCAGCATCTGTGAAGAAAAAAATCAGAGTTAATGTTTTGGGTCCGGTAACCCTTCCTTAGAACCTACTGAGGAAAGGTCACTGGACCCAAAGTGTTAGCTCAGATTTTTTTTCTTCACAGATAATGCCAGACCTGCTGAGCTTTTCCAGCAACTTCTGTTTCTGTTCCTGATTTACAGCATCTGCAGTTCTTTTGGTTTTTATTCCGACTACCCAGAGTCTGTTCACCACGTATAAGGCACAAGTCATGACTGTGATGGAATACTCCCCATATACTTAGGTGCATCCTCAGAAGCTTGACACCATCCTGGACAAAGCAGCCCACTTGATTGGCACATCCACAAGCAACCATTCCCTCCACCACTGACCCTCAATAGCATCAGAAGGCGCTGCCTACAAGATTCAATTAGAGTTCTTTCAGGAAGAAACAACATGCAGGGCTACGGTACAGAAATGATGCTGAATGGCCTCTTTCTGTGTCTTACCAATTCTGAAATTCTGATCCTCTCAACTTTATGGTACCCAACTATAAACTTCAAAGATGATTAGGTTAATGACTAAACTCTGAACAAAGAATTTTAGTTCCATTATTCTAAAATAAATTCTCTCACATTATATTATCCTATAACTACCTGACAAGGGAGAGACCATGATTATGAAGGTGGTTCTCCCAGGACAGAGATATCCCATTGCACTTTGGGTATGCTAAGAGCTGTGATGACCCCAAATGCAGGATACTCGACAGCAAAATTTGTGGTATTGGGGGACTGCATTCACGCTCTCCCCTGATTGTTTTTTTAAGGTCAGGCAGTGGCCTAGTGCTATTAACACTGAACTGTTAATCCAGAGACCCAAGTTACATTCTGGGGACCTGGGTTCAAATGCTGCTACGGCAGACGGTGGAATTTAAATTCATTTAAAATCTGGAATTAGGAGTCTAATGATGACGATGAACTGATTGTCAGGAAAACTCATCTGATTTACTTATGTTCATTAGGGAAGGAAACTGGTATCCCTATGGGAGAGATAGTAGGAACTGCAGATGCTGGAAAATC